GGGTAACAGCCTTGCAGCAATCACAACCCACTAGGACAGTTGTTTAAGCAAATCAGCATTGGTGGTTCAGTGGTAGACTTCTTGCCTGCCACGCGGTAGACCTGGGTCCGATTCCCGGCCACTGCAATTTCTTTTTTGTGTTGCTACTCTTCCAGCTATGGGTAACAGCCTTGCAGCAATCACACCCCACTAGGACAGCAGTATGAGCATATCAGCATTGGTGGTTTAGTGGTAGAATTCTCGCCTCCCACACAGGAGACCTGGGTCTGATTCCTGGCCAACGCAGTTCCCTTTTTGTGTTGCTAATCTTCCAGCTCTGGGTAACAGCCTTGCAGCAATCACGACCCACTAGGACAGCACCATGAGCATATCAGCATTGGTGGTTCAATGGTAGAATTCTCGCCTCCCATGAGGGAGACCCGGGTCTGATTGCCTTGCAGCAATCACACCCTACTAGGACAGCAGGATAAGCTTATCAGTATTGGTGATTTAGTGGTAGAATTCTAGCCTGCCACGTGGGAGACCCTGGTCTGGTTCCTGGCCAATGCAAACCCTCTTTTGGGTTGCTACTCTTCCAGCTCTGGGTAACAGCCTTGCAGCAATCACACCCTACTAAGAGAGCAGTATGAGCATATCAGCATTGGTGGTTCAGTGGTAGAATTCTAGCCTGCCATGTGGGAGACCCTGGTCTGGTTCCTGGCCAATGCAAACCCTGTTTTGTGTTGCTACTCTTCCAGCACTGGGTAACAGCCTTGCAGCAATCACACCCTACTAGGAGAGCAGTATGAGCATATCAGCATTGGTGGTTCAGTGGTAGAATTCTCGCCTGCCATGTGGGAGACCCTGGTCCGGTTCCTGGCCAATGCAAACCCTGTTTTGTGTTGCTACTCTTCCAGCTCTGGGTAACAGCCTTGCAGCAATCACACCCCACTAGGACAGTTGTATAAGCATATCAGCATTGGTGGTTCAGTGGTAGAATTCTCGCCTGCCATGTGGGAGACCCGGGTCCGATTCCCGGCCAATGCAATTTCTTTTTAGTCTTGCTACTCTTCCAGCTATGGCTAACAGCCTTGCAGCAATCACACCCTACTAGGACAGCAGGATAAGCTTATCAGTATTGGTGATTTAGTGGTAGAATTCTCGTCTCCCATACGGGAGACCTGGGTTCGATTCCCGGCCAATGCAAACCCTCTTTTGGGTTGCTACTCTTCCAGCTCTGGGTAACAGCCTTGCAGCAATCACACCCTACTAAGAGAGCAGTATGAGCATATCAGCATTGGTGGTTCAGTGGTAGAATTCTAGCCTGCCACGTGGGAGACCCTGGTCTGGTTCCTGGCCAATGCAAACCCTGTTTTGTGTTGCTACTCTTCCAGCACTGGGTAACAGCCTTGCAGCAATCACACCCTACTAGGAGAGCAGTATGAGCATATCAGCATTGGTGGTTCAGTGGTAGAATTCTCGCCTGCCATGTGGGAGACCCTGGTCCGGTTCCTGGCCAATGGAAACCCTGTTTTGTGTTGCTACTCTTCCAGCTCTGGGTAACAGCCTTGCAGCAATCACACCCCACTAGGACAGTTGTATAAGCATATCAGCATTGTTGGTTCAGTGGTAGAATTCTCGCCTGCCATGCAGGAGACCCGGGTCAGATTCCCGGCCAATGCAAATCCTCTTTTGTGTTGCTACTCTTACAGCTCTGGGTAACAGCCTTGCAGCAATCACACCCTACTAGGACAGCAGTATGAGCATATCAGCATTGGTGGTTTAGTGGTAGAATTCTCGCATCCCACACAGGAGACCTGGATCCGATTGCCGGCCAACGCAGTTCCCTTTTTGTATTGCTACTCTTCCAGCTCTGGGTAACAGCCTTGCAGCAATCACACCCTACTAGGAGTGCAGTATGAGCATATCAGCATTGGTGGTTCAGTGGGAGAATTCTCGCCTGCCACGTGGGAGATCCTGGTCTGGTTCCTGTCCAATAAAAAAACCCTGTTTAGTGTTGCTACTCTTCCAGCTCTGGGTAACAGCCTTGCAGTAATCACACCCCAATTAGGACAGTTGTATAAGCATATCAGCATTGGTGGTTCAGTGGTTGAATTCTCGCCTGCCACGTGGGAGACCCTGGTCCGATTCCTGGCCAATGCAAACCCTGTTTTGTGTTGCTACTCTTCCAGCTCTGGGTAACAGCCTTGCAGCAATCACACCCCACTAGGACAGTTGTATAAGCATATCAGCATTGGTGGTTCAGTGGTAGAATTCTCGCCTGCCATGTGGGAGACCCGGGTCCGATTCCCGGCCAATGCAATTTCTTTTTAGTCTTGCTACTCTTCCAGCTATGGCTAACAGCCTTGCAGCAATCACACCCTACTAGGACAGCAGGATAAGCTTATCAGTATTGGTGATTTAGTGGTACAATTCTCGCCTCCCATGCGGGAGACCTGGGTTCGATTCCCGGCCAATGCAAACCCTCTTTTGGGTTGCTACTCTTCCAGCTCTGGGTAACAGCCTTGCAGCAATCACACCCTACTAAGAGAGCAGTATGAGCATATCAGCATTGGTGGTTCAGTGGTAGAATTCTAGCCTGCCACGTGGGAGACCCTGGTCTGGTTCCTGGCCAATGCAAACCCTGTTTTGTGTTGCTACTCTTCCAGCTCTGGGTAACAGCCTTGCAGCAATCCCACCCTACTAGGAGAGCAGTATGAGCATATCAGCATTGGTGGTTCAGTGGTAGAATTCTCGCCTGCCACGTGGGAGACCCTGTTCCTGGCCAATGCAAACCCTGTTTTGTGTTGCTACTCTTTCAGCTCTGGGTAACAGCCTTGCAGCAATCCCACCCTACCAGGAGAGCGGTGTGAGCATTTCAGCATTGGTGGTTCAGTGGTAGAATTCTCGCCTGCCACGTGGGAAACCCTGGTCCGGTTCCTGGCCAATGCAAATCCTGTTTTGTGTTGCAACTCTTCCAGCTCTGGGTAACAGCCTTGCAACAATCACACCCCACTAGGACAGTTGTTCAAGCATATCAGCATTGGTGGTTCAGTGGTAGAATTCTCGCCTGCCACGCGGGAGACCCGGGTCCGATTCCCGGCCAATGCAAATCCTCTTTTGTGTTGCTACTCTTACAGCTCTGGGTAACAGCCTTGCAGCAATCACACCCCACTAGAACAGCAGTATGAGCATATCAGCATTGGTGGTTTAGTGGTAGAATTCTCGCCTCCCACACAGGAGACCTGGGTCTGATTCCTGGCCAACGCAGTTCCCTTTTTGTGTTGCTAATCTTCCAGCTCCAGGTAACAGCCTTGCAGCAATCACACCCCACTAGGACAGATGTTTGAGCATATCAGCATTGGTGGTTCAGTGGTAGACTTCTTGCCTGCCACGCGGTAGACCTGGGTCCGATTCCCGGCCAATGCAATTTCTTTTTTGTGTTGCTACTCTTCCAGCTATGGGTAACAGCCTTGCAGCAATCACACCCCGCTAGGACAGCAGTATGAGCATATCAGCATTGGTGGTTTAGTGGTAGAATTCTCGCCTCCCACACAGGAGACCTGGGTCTGATTCCTGGCCAACGCAGTTCCCTTTTTGTGTTGCTAATCTTCCAGCTCTGGGTAACAGCCTTGCAGCAATCACACCCCACTAGGACAGTAGTATGAGAATATTAGCATTGGTGGTTCAGTGGTAGAAGTCTCGCCTGCCTTGCGGGAGACCCGTGTGCGATTCCCGGCCAATGCAAATCCTGTTTTTTGTGTTGCTACTCTTCCAGCTCTGGGTAACAACCTTGCAGCAGTCACACCCCACTAGGGCAGCAATATAAGCTAATCAGCATTGGTGATTCACTGGTAGAATTCTCGCCTGCCACGTGGGAGACATGGGTTTGATTCCTGGCCAATGCAATTTTTGTTTTGTGTTGCTAATCTTCCAGCTCTGGGTAACAGCCTTGCAGCAATCACACCCCACTAGGACAGCAGTATGAGCATATCAGCATTGGTGATTCACTGATAGAATTCTCGCCTGCCACGTGGGAGACCCTGGTCCGGTTCCTGGCCAATGCAAAGCTTGTTTTGTGTTGCTACTCTTCCAGCTCTGGGTAACAGCCTTGTAGCAATCACACCCCACTAGGACAGTTGTAAAAGCATATCAGCATTGGTGGTTCAGTGGTAGAATTCTCGCCTGCCACGCGGGAGACCCGGGTCCGATTCCCGGCCAATGCAAATCCTCTTTTGTGTTGCTACTCTTACAGCTCTGGGTAACAGCCTTGCAGCAATCACACCCCACTAGGACAGCAATATGAGCATATCAGCATTGGTGGTTTAGTGGTAGAATTCTCGCCTCCCACACAGGAGACCTGGGTCTGATTCCCAGCCAACGCAGTTCCCTTTTTGTGTTGCTTCCCTTCCAGCTCTGGGTAACAGCCTTGCAGCAATCACACCCTACTAGGAGAGCAGCATGAGTATATCAGCATTGATGGTACAGTGGTAGAATTCTCGCCTCCCATGAGGGAGACCCGGGTCCGATTCCCGGCCAATGCAATTCCTGTTTTCTGTTGCTACTCTTCCAGCACTGGGTAACAGCCTTGCAGCAATCACACCCCACTAGGACAGGTTTATGATTATAACAGCATTGGTGGTTCAGTGGTAGAATTCTCGCCTGCCACGCGGGAGACCCGGGTCCGATTCCTGGCCAATGCAAATCCTGTTTTGTGTTGCTACTCTTCCAGCTCTGGGTAACAGCCTTGCAGCAATCACACCCTACCAGGAGAGCAGCGTGAGCATTTCAGCATTGGTGGTTCAGTGGTAGAATTCTCGCCTGCCATGTGGGAAACCCTGGTCCGGTTCCTGGCCAATGCAAACCCTGTTTTGTGTTGCAACTCTTCTAGCTCTGGGTAACAGCCTTGCAGCAATCACACCCCACTAGGACAGTAGTATAAGCATATCAGCATTGGTGGTTCAGTGGTAGAATTCTTGCCCGTCATGCTGGAGACCCCGGTCCGATTCCCGGCCAATGCAAATCCTCTTTTGTGTTGCTACTCTTACAGCTCTGGGTAACAGCCTTGCAGCAATCACACCCCACTAGGACAGCAGTATGAGAATATCAGCATTGGTGGTTTAGTGGTAGAACTCTCGCCTCTCACACAGGAGACCTGGGTCTGATTCCCGGCCAACGCAGTTCCCTTTTTGTGTTGCTACTCTTCCAGCTCTGGGTAACAGCCTTGCAGCAATCACACCCTACTAAGGGAGCAGTATGAGCATATCAGCATTGGTGGTTCAGTGGTAGAATTCTCGCCTGCCACGTGGGAGATCCTGGTCTGGTTCCTGGCCAATGCAAACCCTGTTTTGTGTTGCTACTCTTCCAGCTCTGGGTAACAGCCTTGCAGCAATCACACCCCACTAGGACAGTTGTATAAGCATATCAGCATTGGTGGTTCAGTGGTAGAATTCTCGCCTGCCACGCGGTAGACCTGGGTCCTATTCCCGGCCAATGCAATTTCTTTTTAGTGTTGCTACTCTTCCAGCTATGGCTAACAGCCTTGCAGCAATCACACCCCACTAGGACAGCAGTATGAGCATATCAGCATTGGTGGTTTAGTGGTAGAATTCTCGCCTCCCACACAGGAGACCTGGGTCTGATTCCTGGCCAACGCAGTTCCCTTTTTGTGTTGCTAATCTTCCAGCTCTGGGTAACAGCCTTGCAGCAATCACACCCCACTAGGACAGTAGTATGAGAATATCAGCATTGGTGGTTCAGTGGTAGAAGTCTCGCCTGCCATGTGGGAGACCTGTGTGCGATTCCCGGCCAATGCAAATCCTGTTTTTTTGTGTTGCTACTCTTCCAGCTCTGGGTAACAGCCTTGCAGCAGTCACACCCCACTAGGGCAGCAATATAAGCATATCAGCATTGGTCGTTCAGTGGTAGAATTCTCGCCTCCCACGCGGGAGACCCGGGTCCGATTCCTGGCCAATGCAATTCCTCTTCTGTGTTGCTATTCTTCCAGCTCTGGGTAACAGCCCCTAGTGGGTAGCAATCACAACCCACTAAGACAGCAGTATGAGCATATCAGCGTTGGTGGTTCAGTTGTAAAAATCCCATTTGTGACGCGGGAGGTAAGTTTTCCGGCCAATTCAATTCCTGTTTTTTGTTGCTACTCTTCCAGCTCTGGGTAACAGCCTTGCAGAGGTCACACCCCACTAGGGCAGCAATATAAGCATATCAGCATTGGTGATTCACTGGTAGAATTCTCGCCTGCCACGTGGGAGACACGGGTTTGATTCCTGGCCAATGCAATTTTTGTTTTGTGTTGCTAATCTTCCAGCTCTGGGTAACAGCCTTGCAGCAATCACACCCCACTAGGACAGCAGTATGAGCATATCAGCATTGGTGATTCACTGATAGAATTCTCGCCTGCCACGTGGGAGACCCTGGTCCGGTTCCTGGCCAATGCAAACCCTGTTTTGTGTTGCTACTCTTCCAGCTCTGGGTAACAGCCTTGCAGCAATCACACCCCACTAGGACAGTTGTAAAAGCATATCAGCATTGGTGGTTCAGTGGTAGAATTCTCGCCTGCCACGCGGGAGACCCATGTCCGATTCCCGGCCAATGCAAATCCTCTTTTGTGTTGCTACTCTTACAGCTCTGGGTAACAGCCTTGCAGCAATCACACCCCACTAGGACAGCAGTATGAGCATATCAGCATTGGTGGTTTAGTCGTAGAATTCTCACCTCCTACGCAGGAGACCTGGTTCTGATTCCCAGCCAACGCAGTTCCCTTTTTGTGTTGCTTCCCTTCCAGCTCTGGGTAACAGCCTTGCAGCAATCACACCCCACTAGGAGAGCAGTATGAGTATATCAGCATTGGTGGTTCAGTGGTAGAATTCTCACCTCCCATGCGGGAGACCCGGGTCCGATTCCCGGCCAATGCAGTTCCTGTTTTGTGTTGCTACTCTTCCAGCACTGGGTAACAGCCTTGCAGCAATCACACCCTACTAGGACAGATTTATGATTATAACATCATTGGTGGTTCAGTGGTAGAATTCTCGCCTGCCACGCGGGAGACCCGGGTCCGATTCCCGGCCAATGCAAATCCTGCTTTGTGTTGCTAATCTTCCAGCTCTGGGTAACAGCCTTGCAGCAATCACACCCCACTAGGAGAGCAGTATGAGCATATCAGCATTGGTGGTTCAGTGGTGGAATTCTCGCCTGCCACGCGGGAGAACCGGGTTCGATTCCCGGCCAATGCAATTCCTGTTTTGTGTTGCTACTCATCCAGCTCTGGGTAACAGCCTTGCAGCAATCACACCCCACTAGGACAGCAGTATGAGCATATCAGCATTGTTGGTTCAGTGGTAGAATTCTCGCCTCCCACGCGGGAGAGCCGGGTCCGATTCCCGGCCAATGCTAATCCTGTTTTGTGTTGCTAATCTTCCAGCTCTGTGTAACAGCCTTGCAGCAATCACACCCCACTAGGACAGCTGATTGAGCATATCAGCATTGGTGGTTCAGTGGTAGAATTCTCGCCTGCCACGCGGGAGACCCGGGTCCGATTCCCGGCCAATGCAAATCCTGTTTTGTGTTGCTACTCATCCAGCTCTGGGTAACAGCCTTGCAGCAATCACACCCCACTAGGAGAGCAGTATGAGCATATCAGCATTGGTGGTTCAGTGGTAGAATTCTCGCCTCCCACGCGGGAGAGCTGGGTCCGATTCCCGGCCAATGCAATTCCTGTTTTGTGTTGCTAATCTTCCAGCTCTGGGTACAGCCTTGCAGCAATCACACCCCACTAGGACAGATGATTGAGCATATCAGCATTGGTGGTTCAGTGGTAGAATTCTCCCCTGCCATGCGGGAGACCTGGCTCCGATTCCCGGCCAATGCAATTCCTGTTTTGTGTTGCAAATCATCCAGCTCTGGGTAACAGCCTTGCAGCAATTACACCCCACTAGGACAGACAATTTAGCATATCAGCATTGGTGGTTCAGTGGTAGAATTCTTGCGTCCCACGCAGGGGACCTGGGTCTGATTCCCGGCCAACGCAGTTCCTGTTTTGTGTTGCTTCTCTTCCAGCTCTGGGTAACAGCCTTGCAGCAATCACACCCCACTAGGACAGACAATTGAGCATATCAGCATTGGTGGTTCAGTGGTAGTATTCTCGTCTGCCACGTGGGAGACATCGGTCCAATTCCCAGCCAATGCAATTTCTCTTTTGTGTTGCTACTCTTCCAGCTCTGGGTAACAGCCTTGCAGCAATCACAACCCACTAGGACAGCAGTATGAGCATATCAGCATTGGTGGTTCAGTGGTAGAATTCTCCCCTCCCACGTGGGAGAGCCGGGTCCGATTTCCGGCCAATGCAATTCCTGTTTTGTGTTGCTAGTCTTCCAGCTCTGGGTAACAGCCTTGCAGCAATCACACCCCACTAGGACAACTCCATGAGCATATCAGCATTGATGGTTCAGTGGTAGAATTCTCGCCTGCCTTGCGGGAGACCCCGGTCCAATTCCCTGCCAATGCCATTCCTGTTTTGTGTTGCTACTCTTCCAGTTCTGGGTAACGGCCTTGCAGCAGTCACACCCCACTAGGGCAGCACTATAAGCATATCAGCTTAAATGGTTCATTGGTAGGATTCTTGCCTGACACACGAGAGACCCGGGTCCGATTCCTGGCCAATGCACTTCATGTTTTGTGTTGCTACTCTTCCAGCTCTGGGTAACAGCCTTGCAGCAATCACACCCCACTAGGACAACTCCATGAGCATATCAGCATTGATGGTTCAGTGGTAGAATTCTCGCCTGCCTTGCGGGAGACCCGGGTCCGCTTCCCAACCAATGCAAATCCTGTTTTGTGTTGCTACTCTTCCAGCTCTGGGTAACAGCTTTGCAGCAATCACACCCCACTAGGACAAATGTATGAGCATATCAGCATTGGTGGTTCAGTGGTAGAATTCTCGCCTGCCACGCGGGAGACCCGGGTCCGATTCCCGGCCAATGCATTTCCTGTTTTGTGTTGCTACTCATCCAGCTCTGGGTAACAGCCTTGCAGCAATCAGACCCAACTAGGAGAGCAGTACGAGCATATCAGCATTGGTGGTTCGCTGGTAGAATTCTCGCCTGCCATGCGGGAGACCCGAGTACGATTCCTGGCCAATGCAAATCCTGTTTTGTGTTGCTAATCTTCCAGCTCTGGGTAACAGCCTTGCAGCAATCACACCCCACTAGGACAGACAATTTAGCATATCAGCATTGGTGGTTCAGTGGTAGAATTCTCGCCTGCCATGCGGGAGACCCGGGTCCGATTCCCGGCCAATGCATTTCCTGTTTTGTGTTGCTAATCTTCCAGCTCTGGGTAACAGCCTTGCAGCAATCACACCCCACTAGGACAGATGTATGAGCAAATTAGCATTGGTGGTTCAGTGGTAGAATTCTCGCCTGCCATGCAGGGGACCTGGGTCCGATTCCCGGCCAATGCAGTTCCCTTTTTGTGTTGCTTCTCTTCCAGCTCTGGGTAACAGCCTTGCAGCAATCACACCCCACTAGGACAGACAATTGACCATATCAGCATTGGTGGTTCAGTGGTAGTATTCTCGCCTGCCACGTGGGAGACATGGGTCCAATTCCCAGCCAATGCAATTTATCTTTTGTGTGCTACTCTTCCAGCTCTGGGTAACAGCCTTGCAGCAATCACAACCCACTAGGACAGCAGTATGAGCATATCAGCATTGGTGGTTCAGTGGTAGAACTCTCGCCTCCCACATGGGAGAGCCGGGTCCGATTCCCAGCCAATGCAATTCCTGTTTTGTGTTGCTAGTCTTCCAGCTCTGGGTAACAGCCTTGCAGCAATCACACCCCACTAGGACAGCTGTATGAGCATATCAGCATTGGTGGTTCAGTGGTGGAATGCTCGCTTGCCACGCTGGAGGCCCGGGTCCAATTCCCGGCCAATGCAATTCCTGTTTTGTGTTGCTACTCTTCCAGCTCTGGGTAACGGCCTTGCAGCAATCACACCCCACTAGGGC